CCCCCCCGGCGCTCAGAGAATCACGCTTAAGAGAGAATCAACAGTTATTTTAAAACAGCCAGCGAGTCCCCCTAGGCCAGTGTTTCTTAAACTTTTTAAGACCACGGAACGCCAAACAATTTTTTTTTTTTAATGAGGAACACCAAGGATTTTTGTTGAGTGGGGAGGAAAAAGAGTTGAGGGAAAGTTATTAAGGAAAAAAAAGGGTCAGGGGGAAGTTGAGTGCAAAAAATCGGGGGGAAAGGGTCAGGGGAAAGTTATTGAGGAAAAAAAGGGACAGGGGGAAGTTGAGCGCAAAAAAAAGGTCAGGGGGTTTGGGAGGGAAGGTTCGGGGGAAGTTGAGCAAAAAAAGTCGCCTGCCCCTTTAAGGGCAGCCATTTTGAAATCTGTTCTCCGCGGCGCAACTCTGACAGTGTGAGTGATACACAGTTTAAGAAACACTGCTCTAGGTGCTGCAATGGGAGGAGACCTCACATGCTTCACTCCCCCTCTCCAGGCCAATGAGGGCTGGGGGGTGGGAGGAGCATGTGAAGTCCCTCACCCCTTGCCACCACCCTGCCAGAGCACGTGGCAGCTAGAGAGAAACACTGGCTGTTTTAAAACAGCTGGCTGTTCCTCTGATGCTGCGCGCCCCTAGCAGTGGGGAGGAGACTTTGCACACTCCTCTGTCCCCAGGGCTGGATTGGGGGGCCAGATGTGGCCCGCGGAGGCCCCTTTGTCCATCCCTGTTCTAGGAGATAAAATCGGCAGCTGGAATTTCTCAGTGTTTGGGAGGTGGAAAGTACTAAGGAGCTTTTAAAAAAGAAGCTGGATTTTTGCGTTCCTTTTGTGCTTTTACGAACAGATGTCTAATGTAACTGAGGTCTCCAGCCATGTTGCTCTAGTGGGTTCTTTGGCAAACGGCATTTGCGGCACACCTGCAGTCTTACCTGCCTTGTGCCTGCCTTCCCAAGTCAAACAAAACCAGCCTGTGCACAGCATCTTTGGCACTCAGAGTGTACGGAAAGGGTCACTGTCTGAAAAAGTTAAAATCCACCAGAAGGAAGCAGCTGAAAACTAAAAGCCAACCTACCAGCGGAGGGAAGCACGCCGGGGGGGTGGATGCGATGAAGGCACACAACTGGACACAGACGTAGTGATACAAGGTGACAGTTTGTCCATTAGCCATGTCTCCTGGCACACAAACAGGAAAAGAGAGCTCCCCAGAGCACTGCTGGAAACCAAGGAAAAGGGCGGAGAACAAAGAGAGCCTGCAGGACAATGAAGGCAGTGAGGATACTTCTGTCCACGCCTGCTGCCCCAAGAACAGACATCTGAACTAAGGGAACCTCCTTCTTGCCTCCTGCTGCGAGCTGAGGCACCACCACCAACTCTGGTCAACTTCCTGCTTATAAACTCAGGCCATTATCGGGCTTACGGGGCTGTAACTGGGTACACTGGCCCTTTACAATTAGAGGTAGCCAGGAGATTCTGTTCCAGGGACACTGGAACAAACAGCAGCTCTGGAAATGGCCTCGTAGCAGGAAGAAAGGAAGTGATCCTGGGCGATCCACAGCTGGTTATGAAAAATCCAGTCACTGTCCCTTTAAGAGCCCAGAATGAGAAGCCTTGTAGTGTATGATTGGGCAGGAGGGAAGGGAGTCTGCCCAATCAAGAGGAAGCTCTCTGAGGGAGGGCAATATATCTGCTACTCTCAGGCCAGGTCCACACTACAGGGGAAGGTCAGCCTAAGGTGCGCAATTCCAGCTACGTACAAAACGTAGCCAAGTCCACCGAACTTAAGCCGGGTTGTGGTGCCGTCCGCACAGCGGGAAGTCAACAAAAGAAATGCTCCCGTCAACTTCCCTTACTCCTCACGAGGAGCAGTATTGGGACGCCCTCGTTACCAGACCCGCTGAATCGAACGCCGCAGCGTCAGTCTTCCCACGAGTGCAGACGTAGCCCTGTCTGTCAGGATGGAGAGCTGACAGGTGGTGGCATCCTAAGGAAAACTGAGGGAATGTCTAAAGGGAATCAGGGGCAGCACAGTGCCAGGGCTTAGGGCTTAGATGCTCAGCCAGTCCTGTGTGCAACGTGGACGGGGGGCTGGTCCATCCAGACTGGGCCATCGCATCATGCCATGGGCAAGGGGCTAGTCCACAGTGAACTGGTTAAGCACAGTGTTTAACCGATTAACTTCTTAAATGACAATTTACATCCTCACTCTGGCCATGATGGGCCTCAGTAAATAGCCTGCCTGCCACGGGAATAAATTGAACATGCTGACCTGAGGGGAAAGTTGACCAGTTTTGGAAATAAACAAAATTGGCCTTCCACGTCCTTGCCTGAGCCTGAAGGCCAACCTTTCCCTCGGTGGACCAGTGCATCTCCGCTTTGTGCTGTGTCCCCTGGAGGCGTTACATCACATCCACCAGCACGACTGGCCGAGGGTCAGACCGCATGCCCTCGGCACTGCTAATGCTACCGACCTGCTATCCTGAGGGGCCTCTTGCACCTGAACCCCAATGTCCACTTGTGCAGCCTGACTGCTCCTGGCAGAAACTACCTGGGACTCTCTTCTGACGACTGGCTTCCTGTTGTCCAGAGAGCCTGCACATCCTCAGGCTGAGAGGGCAGCTTGTCCATGATGGTGATCAGTAGACGACACTGAGGTAGGTGCAACTCAGGAGAGAGATCTGCGGGGAATTCAGTGCGCATCAGGAAAGATGAAGGCTGGTTGGAGTAGCCCAGCATTGCACACAAGAGGACAGTGGGAGCACAAGATGCCTAAACTACAACTCCCAGGATGCACTGGGGCTGCATTTCACATATTTTATTTTCAGTTAAAATATTTCGGATTTGGCCCCAAACTAGAAAACAAAAATGCAACTTTTGCTGAAACATTTTCCCACCAAATGGCACTTTTTTTTATTTAAAAAAAATTGTTTTTGGACAAAACCTCAATTTTTCCCATCGAAAAAGAATTGGCAGACAATTTTCAGACAGCTCTATTTTTGCGTCCACTTTTGTGTCAGAAGAGCATCTTAACAAAAAACATGATTTGCTCAATGTAACAAAACCAATGGTTTAATGTAATTTCTCCAGTACGCGCACAGCAGCAGTGGTCAAGTTAAGGAACCTTTCATGTTGTTTTATGAACCTGGAAGTATTGCTTAGGGTCCGCTATGAAAACCACCGTGTGGAAATAAGAACCTGACGTATGCGGAAATGTTACATCGTGAGTGAAGCACACAAAGTCAAGACGCCTCGTTCTGTTCCCGAGAGATGGCACCGACTCTGCTATAAAACACAGGCACTCGCAGGTTTAAACCTACCTAGTTTCTCACTTAATACCTGCTCCAGAAAAGGCTTGAAGGGAAGAAGCTGGTGAATGAGAGGATCCAGTGCCACCAGAAAAACCCTGCTCATTTCATCCTGATGGGCCTCGAAAATCACAGGAGCATACAGACTCGGAGGGAATTTGCTGAGGGGGAGAGAATACAGATGTGCACGTCCCCATTGTTAGGTGATTACACAGTAACAAACTCACAGAGCAAGCACCAGTGCAGAGCTGTAGTAAATGTGGGAGAAATCATTATTTCCAAACCTTTGTGGGGTTTAAGCGAAGATTAAGAGTGCCCTAACTTCTCTTTTCGCACTTAACTTCTTTTAAACAAAATATTGCCTAGTTATTTCACAGCAGTGGGCCTGTGGGGTGAATACAAGAAAATCCATTTTGAAGGGCTCAAAGGGATCCAGGTACAGCAAACTCTCCCCAGCTATAGCCACGGAGAGGAACTAGTAGAAGAAAATGCAACAAAATGAGGAGTTTGGGAACATGCTGCCACTCCGGCACTGACCCCCTGTTCTGGTGGCAGCGCTGTAGTCCAGGTGACATCCTCAGGGCCAAACAGATAGTATTGGATGTGGCCCACAATGGTAAATAGGTTGATTTGTCACCGGGTTAGAGTGTCTAATAGCTACACGAGTAAACAGACCCCACTAATGCAGCCAAAGAAGTCTCCAGAGAGGAAGTGCAAATTTCTCCCATCTCTGTGCACCAAAGAAATTCTAGATACTACTGCAATTCTACAGACAGCCAACCGGGCCCAATGGCTGCTGCAATCTTCTATTGTTACAAGTCTCGTAACCTTTAGAACTGCTGTCCCTAGCTGTGACCCTTCGGGGTGGACACAGAGATGTCCCTTAAACAGAGCCAAAGAGCTGGTCTCTGTAGTTCACTTACCTATATATCTGAAGATACAGCTGATGTAACTGACTGGCGCAATCCGAGAGAAAAGGAATAAATTCCTGCAAAAGTCACCAAGTTTGAATGATATTTTCAAAATGAAACAAGAATACATTTTTCTACTGCTTGCTTGAGTTCGTGAAATGCTTCATTAGGAAGTCAGGCTATAGCCTGCTGCAATGCACAGAGCAAAACACGCAAAATCCACAACACATGACAAAATGCTAAGTAATATTACCGTATGTTTTTCCTTCTCTTTAGAAAGCTAAATTAATAGGCTAAGAAGTTTCCTACACTTCATTTACAGGAGCAATAACTACAGTCAGTCAAACAAAAATGCATGCTTCGCATATTTTAAGTAGAAACAAAGAGGTAACTGACATTAATACAACAGAGAAGGGGATTCTACACCTCATTATCTACTCCGTATTTGTTATTGCTATTTGGTTTGTTCCCTAAATGGGTATCAGGAGGATACAACAAGGCTATTAGAAGAAAGAGGTTGAGGGAGAAGGAAAGTAAAGGACAGAGAGAAAGGGTAGGGAAGAGTTATCCCTCGGTAGGAGTAGAAGGGAAGCAGAATATCCCAGGAGAAAAAGAGGGCCTCTAGATTATTTATTTTTAGAGCATTGTCTCTTAGTAAGCATTGCAGTGATCTCCTGCTCATATTTTCTTTAAAAGGGAGTGCAATGTTTTGCTGAAGGTCGAACATACCCCCGACCTCTCACATTCAGGGACAGCCTAGTAATGCATCGCTCACCGCCCATCTCCATATGGAACGGATTCCTCTGCACCGCTATTACGCTGCTGCACAAGCCTAGCCAGAGGATTTGGGACAGTTGGGAAAGGGATTCACTCAGCTACATCCCAAACTCAATCAACCTATCCCCCCACCTCCAGCAGCAAGAAATGAAATCCACCTATTGTGCTGGCGCTATGCACAGCTGCCAACCCCTGTTCAAATGTTGCCAAGAGCAGTTGTTCAAATAAGCTGGAGGTCTGGCGATCAATGGGCCCTAAAGCCTCCGGTGAACTTGGTATTCTCTCACACCCTCCGTTGGTAGATCTGTATTAATATCCCAATCCTACAGACAGGGAAACTGAGGCACAACAGTTAAATGGCTTGATCAAAAGTCAAAGAATCAGAGACAGGACGTGAATGAAGGAATCCCTTACTCTCAATCCTTTACCTAATCCTTTCAACCTTATTTGTGAGCCCATAGGCATTTTGAATGGAGGTGTTGACCTGTTAGTCTGCAGACACCCACGGGTCCATGGACCACAGGTTGAAAGCCACTGCACCAGCCCATGCTGCCTCGGCTGCTGTCAAATGTTCCCTCCTCGTGGCAAGAGATCATATTCGGCAGTGGAACAAGTTCGGACGAAGGCAATATGTTAACAGGAAGCTGTGAAAGGGCCCAATACAATCAGCAGCCTCCAGAGTAGAACTACTTCCCATGGCTGCTCGTTTGAGTCCCACTGACAACAGCGGAGGATGCTGTGGGCAAATGCCAGCCCTGGGATGCTGGAAGCGGGACCACCAATACGTTTTGAACGTTAGGGATAAATCAGCAACAAGCTCGCACCCTTCGCAACCATTTGCCTGTTGACATTTTCAAAGCAATGTTGCCACGACATCGGTTCCCTGCCAGCTGTGAGGGATAAGCACCCCCTATCGACTCCCCAATGCCACTGCCTGCTGCAGCTTGGTATTCAGCAGAAGATAGGCAGAAGCGCTGAACAGTAGGGATCCAAATGAGTATGGGTGTTTATTATGCCATCCAGATTCCACAGTTATAAGTATGGAATAGCAATACCAAATACTTCGCCAGTGTGCCTATTTACAGTTTTATCCTCACGTAGGACCCAAGTAATGAATCTTACCTTGGTGTAGTGTACAAGGGAGTTTGCAAAGAATCTACAGAGTTTGACTGTCTTCTGGAACAACTTCTGGTCAATGGTCACCTACCCAAAAGGAAAGCAGCTATAAAATAACTATGGACAGACCAAGAAGTAATCAAAGAAATCTACATTGCACGATACATTGTAACGGGGCTAGAAACCTTGTTTGTTAAAGAATGCTTGGAATCCACACAAATACAGCAGATATTGGGGAAACCCCTAAAAAAGTTTGATGACCCTGGCCTCTCAAAACAATGTGTCATGGGAATCGTCAACATTTACCTGCTCTTTTTATTGGCCCAGTGGAAGCAGCAGTATGTGAAATGATTGGGATTCCTGATAAGAGTTCTGGGGAAGATGGGGGTGAACACTCTTTGTATCTACCCAAAGTATCCAGGATGTTATCCATATATACTAAATTCCCTTTCAGCATGGTTTTCTAGAGAACCTTGTATGGAAGTGTTGGGTAGTTAGTGTGTAACATGAGATACTTTAGCCACTGACACTGCATAGCAAACATGATCCTTGCAGTGCTTCCTAACCCAACTCTCTCTCAAGCCCAAAAGTCATTTTGGGTGGTAGTTCATTCACCTGCATCCCAGACAGCTTCATCTGCTCAGCCAGCTGCACACAGGAATGGAAGGAGAAAAGGGTGTCCTTGCACAGGCCACAAAGGATGTCCTTGTGTTTCAAATGGCTCTGTAGTAGGGGCTGATGCTTGAGGCTTTGCCTAAAAAAGCCAAACAGGAACAGGATCAGAGGCTTAATTACTAGAAATGAATCATCAAGGGACAACAGGTCGTAGCAAGCGTTATTCCACGGTGCCCACTCTACCCTGTCAAGACCTGTCAGTATCTGAGTGCACTAATGCAGCAGTTTTCCGATAAATACCAAAAAACTCGGAGCTAGAAGCACACTAGTCTCACTGTGACTAGTCACTGAGGCACCAGGGGGACACAGCATGTATCAACAAGGTGGCAGAATCTAATCCAACAGCATGGGTGGGATTCCAATTCAGACCCTGCGGGAATATCTAAAGCCTAATACTTCATTTAGAATTTATTTCCTAAACATTAGCATATAAAAAGATCAAAGTGTGTTTGATTTTCTGAGGCCAGGCTCAGAGCTCTTCCCGCTAAGAATGCATTTAATTCTGGTCACTAGTTGAACGTCAGGCACTTTAAACATGTTACAGAACAGCAGCTATAAAATACACTTGGGACACACAACAGCAACATGCAAAGTCTGAAAACATACTTGATTATGAACTTCCACGTGTTGGCGTGAAGGGCATGGTCCATGTTGGAAATGACGGCGCAGATCTCCAGCACAGTATGGATCACTGCAGAGGGAATAGTAAGCGAAAGCAAATAAACACTGAATTAAAATGGACCCAGACATTCAATGCTTATTCCATGCGCTTGGAAGAAAAAAAACCCCACAACCAAACAGCTGTCAGATCACTGTGTTTGCAAAACTACTTCCAGGTCTGGAACACTGATCAATTATCAGTTGCCTGGTGGGACAGAGACCACTTCAATCCCTGGGTTTTATAGATCAACACTCCATCTCCTATCTAACTGAGGGCAATACCAGATTGCAGGAAACAGGAAATCCTGCAAGCACATCAAGTGCCTCCTTTAAAGTTCTGAGCACCCTTAACTCCCACTGAAGGCATCAGGAACTAAAGGTACTCAGCTCCTAGCAGAAAGTGCTCTGCCTCTTGGAGGATGCGGCCTACTGTCTGTAGAAAAGAGGAGGCTGGCCAGGATAAAGAAATACATACCTGACACCATGTCTGCAACATTCTCCTCAGCGGAAGCAGATCCCACGGAGATCATATCAAGCAGCTCCATAAGCTGCTTTTGAAGAGAATAGGTCTCTTTAAACAGAGCCTGGAGAAGGTCAGAAATCAAGTGCAGGCACCCACTGTACAGTGACTCACTGTCCTGTAGGAAATGTGGGATGATGGAGAGTTAGAAAATGTCTCAGGATCAAGACCTGATCTTGCTCCTTCTGAAATCAACGGGAATATTGATACA